TAAAAAAAAAAAAAAAAAAAAATTACATTTCATATGAATCATATTTTAATTTTTATATTATATATATATATAAACCAATTATATTTAAAGGTTATTTTTAGTTCAATGGTTAATTTTTCACTAATTTTACATGGGGAATCTTTATCAAATGAAAATTGACGAAATCTCGTGAAATGAAGAAAATAATTAAGTAAATTAAATTATTTAATTGTGACAAAATGTTCTTAAATAAATTTGGAACAGAATGGAATTAGAGAGAGATTTTTGGAGGATTTGTTTATTAATAATAAATTAAAACACGTGAAAAATAAATGTTGGTCAAAACACGGGTGGGTCCCACCCATACACCCCCAGAACGAACCAGCCTAACTTGCCACGTCTGCCCCTTTTTTCCCTTAAATTTTTCGTGTTATTTTGCCGCCCAATTTTAGTTCCACGTCGTGTTCCTATTCACTTTTTTTTTTGTCTATTAAAAAAATATTGGATATAAATTTAATTCAGTAATATATTTAGATTTTAAAAGAAAATTAAAAAATATAATTAGTTTAATTGGGAATTAATTTGTTTGGGGTATTTTTGTTGTTTAGGGAATAATAAAAATCAATGGATGATATTGAAATTTAGGAAGAAAATTAATATTGAAAAATAAGGTGAAAATGGAAGAATGAGAAAGGTATTATAGGAAGACTGAGCAGGAATGTTTGAAATTAAATTAACCTATGATTCATATTTTAACTTAAAATTAATTAGAATTTTAAAAAGGTCCATAGTCCACCCTTTGAGGAGAATATATTCTTGTACCACGAAAATGCCCCTCAATTTCGTCCTTGCCGTTCTTTGGTCTACCATGTCACCTAACCACAACCTTTCTTGAATCCTAAGTAGTTTCATTATTACCCGTCTTTGCATTTTCTACCATTTGGGGGACAAAATCCAAGGAGGACCAAAAATGCATTCTTTTTAAATTAAATCAAAATTTAATTTTAATTATTAGATTTGAGGTGAGATTCCAGTTGAGTTGGAGGGAACGAAATATTTTTTATAAAAGTATCAAAGTTAGAGATCGAACAATGTATAAGATTAAACAGAAGAGGGGAACAAAACATTGGACCGTGGTCGTGAATAAGTATATTTTGTTTAGAACTAGGAAGGTGGTGGTGGTGGTGGGTAAATATTAAGCTTAATTTTTAATTTGAGCTGGCGGGTTAGTCAAAGAACGAAATGCGTGTGAACAAAAAATTCAATTCAACATACATTTCACGACTCCATGTGTAGCTGACCTTTTCTCTTGACGAATTACATATAAATAGAGGCAAACCCCCTTTCCTTCATTGCTCACAAACAAAACACAGCGCCATTTCTCCAACAGTTTCCGAGAAATTGAGAGACAATGTCGGTAACATCCATAACCCTCCCTTGTCCTCAACCCCACTCGCGATTCCCGTCGCAGAAGAAGCCTCTCAGATCTCGTTCTAACCTGGGGTTTCCTTCCCGACGCCTGATCTACGCCGCCGACGGGGTCTCCTCCTCCTCTTCTTCCTCGCCCCCATCCTCCGTTCAATTGCCGCAGCGGATTGCTCCGACTCCGGAACCGACGAAGCTTCCCTTGAGGAAGATTCCAGGCGACTATGGCCCGCCGATGTTCGGAGCGTTGAAGGACCGACAAGACTATTTCTACAATCAGGGGAGAGAAGAGTATCTCAAATCTCGGATGCTTCGCTACGAATCCACTGTTTACAGAACCAATATGCCGCCGGGTCCATTTATCACCAACGATTCACGAGTTGTGGTTTTACTCGACGGCAAGAGCTTCCCTGTTCTCTTCGACAATGCTAAAGTTGAGAAGAAGGATCTCTTCACCGGCACTTACATGCCTTACACAGAACTCACCGGCGGCTACAGAGTTCTCTCTTATATTGACCCATCTGAGCCCGATCACGAGAAGCTTAAACAGCTCATCTTCTTCCTCCTCAAGCACCGCCGTGATAAAATTCTCCCCGAATTTCACTCTACTTTTTCCGAGCTATTCCAGACTCTGGAGAAGGATTTAGCTGCCGTCGGCAGAGCAGAGTACAATGCTCCCGGTGAACAAGCGGCGTTTAATTTCTTGGCTCGGTCCCTCTTCGGCGCTAATCCTGTCGATACCAAATTGGGTCGAGATGCTCCGAAATTGATTGCGAAATGGGTTCTGTTCCAGCTCGGCCCTGTTCTTAGGCTCGGCCTCCCTAAGGTCGTCGAGGAGCTCCTCCTCCGCACGGTCCGGCTTCCACCGTCGCTGATTAAAGCCGATTACCGGCGGCTGTACGACTTCTTTTACCAATCCTCGGAGGCGGTGTTTGAGGAGGCGGATAGATTGGGGATTTCGAGGGAAGAAGCTTGCCACAACTTGCTCTTCACCACGTGTTTCAATTCATTCGGAGGGATGAAGATTTTCTTCCCCAATATGATTAAATGGATCGGACGTGCCGGAGCGAATCTCCACACCCAATTAGCAAGGGAGATTCGTACCGCCGTACAAGCCAACGGCGGCAGAATCACGATGGGGGCCATGGAACAGATGCCGCTGATGAAATCCGTAGTGTACGAAGCATTCAGAATCGAGCCGCCGGTTCCGGTTCAATACGGTCGGGCGAAGAAGGACCTAGTGGTCGAAAGCCACGACGCTGCTTTCGAGATCAAAGAAGGAGAAATGATTTGTGGGTTCCAACCATTCGCAACCAGAGACCCGAAAATCTTCGACAGAGCCAACGAGTTCGTGCCTGATCGGTTCACCGGCGACGGTGAGAGGTTGCTGAAGCACGTGCTATGGTCAAACGGACCGGAGACTCAATCGCCGACGGTTCAGAACAAGCAGTGCGCGGGAAAAGACTTCATCGTGTTCATCTCTCGCCTTTTCGTCGTCGAATTCTTCCTCCGATACGACTCCTTCGACATCGAAGTCGCAAACTCTCCGTTGGGCGCCGCCATCACTGTAACTTCCCTGAAAAAAGCAAGTTTCTAGGAGGAAACAAAAAAATTACCGTCGGGTTAAAAATAATTACGCGGGTTAATTCTTTTTAGAGGAGAGAGAAAGAACTGTATAGTTAGTATAGAAAGTAATGGGATTAGAAAGATAGAGAGTGTGGGCCCCACCACTTTATAAGACCCAATGAAAGGAGATCCACGTGGGCCCCAAAAGTGGGTGTCATTTTCAAGATGTAGATTGTCAAGTTATCAATATATCTCTACCAATAAATCTGTTCCAATGTGATTAAATCTTTTCTTTTTATATTTCTTTCCATGCGATCATTTATTTTATTAATATTATTTACTTCGTCATTTAACATTTTTATTATTTATAAAATTCCAATTAAAATATATAATTTAGTTTTATTTCCGTATTTAAAAAAAAAACTCAAACGTGTGGATAAATAGAATAAAATATCCACCAACAAAAAATAGACAATTGATAATGTTATAATCTTTAGATAAATAAATTGATAATGGTTCCTCCTTTTGGGCGCACGATCATGTGTCGTTGCAAAAAAGAGATGAAAATATCATAATTTTAAAATTGAGAATTTTAGAGTCCTTTCGTTTAATAATTACAAAAATATTTTTTTCAAAAAGAATAATAGTACAGTTACTTTAGGCATATTTTTACTTTTTACCTTTAGTCATATTTTTAATAAATAAAATAAAATAAAAATAAAAACTAGGGAAATTCAAATGATATTTTTAATCTAGACCCAAAATGAGGTTGAGTTTGGTGGTGAATTGAATGCTTGTTCTTTTTGTCCAAAGTTTACTTTTTGCAAAAGTGGGGTCCTCCTCAGAGAAATAAATAAATTAATAACTTTTTAAATTTTTATGTAAATCTATTGAATATTAGCAAATTGAGACGTACAATATTGGCATGCAAAATAAACATGGTTTGAATGATAGCCATACTTTTTAATTTAAATTATAAATACTGTCGACAAAAAAAATTTAAATGCTTTTTTAATAGAAATCTCAATAATTATTTATTATAAAGATAATTGAGAGATCAAGACAGGTTGGCGGAGAATTTATTTTGGTTCGCCAAACAAGCCGGTCCAAAGCTTGACGGTTCAATTTAATCCTAAAAGTTGACCCACTCAATAGTCAAATATTGACAATAATATTTATTTACTTTTCAATTTAAAATGTTAGGAAAGGTTGGAATATTGGAGGTAATAATTAATTTTAATAACTTACCGAACTGTTTTTTTTTTTCTCTTTTATAAATCAAAACAAATAAAATGTAATACTGTTCAACGGTACATTGACATGTATTATAATTAATATTAAATGAACGTGAATTAGATAATGACTACTTTAAAACTTAGTTGAAATAGTTGAAAATGTAGAGATGAATTCTACGAGAAAAGGTCAAAGTTAGGTGGAAAGATGATAGGTTGGAAGTGATGAAAACATACGATCATTGTGTTTGGTGTGTCTTTAACATGTTAATTGTGGATGAAACATCATTTTGTTAGCTTTGCAGAGTTGTGGTACGGTAAGACGTTGATTTCAACCACAAGCTAATAAATTCAAGCCTACTAAACCATAGTCATGGACTCACAATCTTTCGTTTTGTGTTTTAAAGTGACAGTCAGACCCAATCATTTAATTTTCGCAATAAATCAAACTCACGAGTTTTAATGATAAGAATAATGGGGAGAGAAAGTAAAATTTATATTATCAAATGTCTGTCAAAAATACTTTTTGAGATTTGAATCACTCTACCAATAAGATTAATGATTGACGCTAATAATTTTAAATATAAACCTAAACAAGATTAATGATTAATGAGGCTAATAATTTTAAATATAAACCTAGACTACGTGGAATTTTAGATCATAGAGGAATATTATTTAACAAACTATTGGAAGACGGTGAGCTCTGTTCACTCTGCCATGAATCTTCCACTGAGCCTCTGGAAAAGTAATCCCCTCCTCCATGGCTAGACTTCCAGCTTCCACTTTCAACTATTTCCTTACACTTCACTCCCCCTTCATCCCACCTGCTCCGCCGTATCTCCTCCAGCTCCGCCGCCACCTCTACCATCGACGGTCTTACATCCCGATTAAACGCCAGGCATCTGAACGCCACCTCCCCCACCTTCTCCACCGACGAAATTCCCCGTTCGTCTAACTCCATCTCCATTAACGGGTCAACAATTTCTCTCAGCCGCCCATTCCCGATCCGATCGACTGCCAGACCGGCTAAATTGACCTCGTCTTTCGGCCGGCAGAAATCCACCACTTTCATGGCGGTGATCAATTCGACAAGGACTACGCCGAAGCTGTACACGTCGCTCTTGTCGGAGAGATGAAAATCCTGATGGTACTGCGGATCGAGATATCCCGGTGTTCCTTGAGGCGCCGTGGAAATGTGGGAAATTTCGGCCATTCCCAATCTCGAAAGCCCGAAATCCGCCACTTTGGATTTGAGATTATGATCAAGTAATATGTTACTGGATTTAATGTCTCTGTGGAAGATCGGATGGTTAATTGCAGAATGGAGATGAGCGATTGCATTAGCGGTTTCGACGGCGATATTGAGGCGGACAAGCCAGGGGAGGCCGGTGCCCCTCTGTTTCTGTAAATGTTGGAACAGAGTGCCGTTGGGCATGAATTCGTAGACGAGGATTTGGTCGCCTGATTCCATGGAGCAGCCAAGGAGGCGGACGAGGTTAGGGTGGCTGACAGAGGAGATGAGGTTGATTTCGTTTAAAACTTGTTGGATTGTGTCGGGGTCTCGATTTTTTAGGCGTTTAATTGCGACCCATTCGCCGCGTAATTTCCCGACGAAGACGGAGGCGTATGCGCCGGCGCCAAGGCGGTAGTCCTCAGAGAAGTTATGGGTAGCTTTTAGAATCTCTTTGTAGGTGTAGAGGTGGATGGTGGATACGCCGGCGCCGGTTGTGGCTTCAGCGAGGCGGCGTTTGGTGATTTTGTTGAGGTGAATAGATTTGAGATTGGAACGACGGCGGATGAAGCAGCAGAATAAAAGGAGAGTAACGAGGAGGAAGGCTCCGGCGACTATAGTTCCGACGAGGACGGCGGTTGTTGTGGCAGTTGTTGATGTTCCGCATTGGGCGAGAGTGTACTTAGTGGCATAGCAATTTGAAGCTGTTTGGGGAAGAAGATGAACAGATTAGTGAAATTTGGATAATTTATAATATTAAATTCCAACAAATTAGTTGGATTAATTACTTTAAATTATGAAATTAAACAACTAATTAATAGTCAACCAAATTAATCCCACCATACGAAGAAACGATACCCCGAAATTTCATCATGATTTTTTGACTTTAAAATCATCACGCGCAATAAAACAAACAAATAATAATAATAATAATCGCAAGTGGTGGAAAAAAAAACCAACCTTTCCGGCAGCCAGTGCCGGTCAAATACCCATCGCCGACCAACCCTTCCCGGCAGCGGCACCGATGAGATAGCTTCCCGTCACTCGGCGATATAAGCTCCGTACAGTTAGCATCTTTATGGCAGGACTGGCGGCAGGGCCCCTGCAGCCACCAACCCAGATCCACCGTCTGAATCTCCAGAGAAATTCCAGCAGAGGTGTTGCTGTTGAGCGCCTCCGCGGAAATGGACGAGAGAAGGTAATCGCAGTTGGTTCCGGTGAGGTTTTTGAAGTCCAAGAAAGCGGCGGAAGCGGTGTTGTTTTGGGTGTAGCAGCTTATGCTAGTGCGATTAACAGAGCAATCGGGGGATTCGAATTTGGTCTGAACCATCGTGGTGGGTAAAAGGCAAGTCGAAATCGGAGACGAACAGTTTTGTAAAAGAATGGCGTTGTTGGCCGTTGGGGCGTAGTGGGGGCTGAAGAATTGGCGGATTGTGTGCAAACGGCGGTTGCATTTGGCTTTGATGACGACTTTGATGTGGTCGGAGTTGATTAATTGGACAGGGAATTCCCCGATGGTGGCGGCGCCGTCGTGATTGCAGTCCAAGCGGATTGCGCAGCCGGCGGAGAAGCCGAATGGGTAGGGAAAATCGTATGGGGTGTGGTTGGGACTGCATGATTTTGAACATTCAGCCTCTGCTTTGAGTGTTAACGCTAGAAGAAGTAAAAATATTGGTGTTTGGATTGAATTTTGTGGGAAATTGATGAATTTTCTTGGCATTTGAGAATGTGCTTGATGGAAAATGGATGCTAAGTGTGCAGCTAAACCAAGAGGATGGCGGAAGTGGGAAACCCTATCAACCTTTGGCTGTTCATCCTCATCCTATATATTTTTTTTTTAATTCAATGAGTGAAATTTGGGCAAGAGATTTGTCAATCAAGCTTCAATATTTGATTAACTAATAAATAAGCTTTTTTTTTTTTTCAACATTGCAAGTAGGTGTCAAAAAAAAAAAATTACTCCAGATTTACGCACGTTATAAGAAATGCTTCATTCTCCTCTCTACTCGATATGGGATCTAACAATTCACACCTCCTCTCGAGGACGTTCATACCCCTCCTTGGGGGCTCAGTATCCTCACTTGATATCGTTTGTATCAGCCTAAGTCATTCGTTAATAGATTTCGTCCGCTTTGGTCCATTACGTAGGGTCGTCATTCTCGCAGTTTTAAAGTGCATCTATTAATCAAAAGTTTCCACACCTTTATAAGAAATGTTTCGTTCCACTCTTTAACCGATATGCGATCTCACAACTGTCCACACTGAGTTTGTTAGTAAATCCTCATTGACATGTATTACAATAAATAAATAAAATGAAGGTCCCTCGACTTAGCCATTCACCTACTATACTCTTTATAGAAATACTGACGAGAGTGTTCACATGAGAAGACTTTTAAAAAAGAAGAATTTAAAAGCACAACATCCACACTTATAGTTCTTTTCTTTGTTTTCCTACTTTGTAAATTATTTCTAACATCCCGTAAGAGATCTCGATGCATAATCTTGAATCATCCCTCGTTCTATCTATCAATAATTGATAAAACTATGAAATATAGACAAATCATAAATTCGAATCTAAAAATTCGATAACCTAGCTTGAATGGACACTCAAACACTCACATCAATAATGCATTATTGATAAAAATGATCAAAATGCTCGGTGGGCTCCCCATTGATTTCTTGTTTGATCTGAAATACATCATTTTCAATTCTTCATCGTAATAATTTGATAAACAGTAAAAGAATCCATATATTTTATGTGTTATAAACATTAGTTTTTTAATAATAATTTAGATTAAACATGATATAACCTAAATTGCAACAACATATTAATTT